ATTGTTTCTGGAGAATAGGGCACATTATATAGTTGACAATCTGCTAAGACTAAATTTTAAGGAAAAGATGCTGTTGCAAGAAAAGTAGAAAAAATTAATCACACAACTGAGAAAAACCCAGGAAACTCAAACTGTTAATGGGTGTACGCATTAAAATTGTTAGACCATCCCTGTGCACAAAGGCAAGGAAATCAGACACTTAATATGAAAGATATTTAATTGTTGGGGGTGGAGGGAGAGGAAGAGGGTGAGTGAGAGAATGGAGAAAGGATTTTAAATGACAGGTTCCCAATAAAACTCCGTAAATTGTCTAGCCAAACATTCTCATCCCATAGTGGCGCAGTGGAGGCCCAAAAGCTTGCCACAAGTATAAGTCACCTGGCAGGGATCCACAAGAAAGGGTTTAATTTGGTCCCAGAGAACTAGGATGAAGGAGAGAGACAAAATTCAAAATGTACCATATAATCCAAAACAAGGTGAAGATAACAGCTGCCATTGTCTCTGCCAAAGACCAGGGTCACCTCCCCACATGTCTGTCACCCACGTGTTGTTGTAGAGCAACCCCGATACAAAACGGGGTGCCTGACTGTGGGTCCTCACCCACGCGCTTAAAAGGAGTTATCAATGCTCTACTGCAGGCACACGCGAAAGGTTAATAAAAGGTTTATTTACAAGGGAAGGGGAAATGAGGAAATGTACAGCTCAGGGAGAAAAGTGGGAGACAAAGTTTTAAATGAGTCCTACCCGATCCGCCGATCAGGAATCCCAAAATGGTGCTCTGAGAGCTGGCCGCCAGCCAGGAGCGGTGAAGCCAGGAGGCGAGCGATAGCGAGCCCCCCAAGGCCCACGTGTTTGGTTTTTATATCCAACCTGGCTGCCCAACTCCACCCTCAGGTCCCAGCCACCTTCCCCTTGGTGGTGATGGGATTTGTCTTTCCCAATGTCCTGATGGCTTTAGTCTGGAGTGGGGGTGGAGTCCACAAAGCCTGTATGGGATTAGCTCAGGACATCCTTTCCCCCTAACAGTGTCTCTTCTCCAAGCGTCTCTTCACATGTCTTTCCTTCTAAGTGTTTCTCCTTGTGCCATCTCCATTTGTATATTCATCCGGATCATGCCCAGCTGCCCCCATTCAGGAAGTCTGGGTCAGGGCATGTTGGGACTTCAATCCAAGGCAGCTGCATGTGATGGGGATAGGGAAAATGGCTCCATTCACTGCACTGTGGTGCCCCCCCCCCACCCCAGCCCTCACTGAGATGCATTCTGCAGTAGAGTCTGGATAGACAGTCAGAATTGCTTGGTGATGAATGGGAAACAGCCACACACATATTGAATTTGGTGATCAGGCCACCAAAAAAGAACTCTCAAAACCTATACCTGCTCTTTTGACTCTGACAATTGATAATATATGAAATTTAAAAGAAACTTTCAGGCAAATTTTTAGGTTCCTTATATGAAACTGCATTTTGATCAGTATACTAGACATGATTTTTAAAAGCCTTATAAAAAGCAAAGGAGGTAAAAATGCCTCGCATCATGTTTCTAGGGCTTCTTAGAAATTTCATATGAAAAGCACTTTTTACTTGCTGGCCAGCCAAGAACTCCAGCTGATTTCAGCTGCTCTTTGGTGAGTGTAATAAATAGAAGAAAGAAAGAAAGAAAAATAAACCCACAAGATTTTTCCAAAGTATTTTGTTATCAGTAATGCTATGCAGCCTGGCATAACACACTTGACAATATCAAAAGAGATGGTATCAGTATAAATGTTACAGGGAGCAGAACGCAGTTCTGTTTCGTGGTTTGGCCAGGAAAAAAACAAATTACATGGAGTGACCCAAGGCAACCTGACTTCATGAGACCCTTGGTCCTTATACACATTAACAGTTTTGCCCCAGTACAGTGATTATAAAAGAAAGGTTAGTAGGACGTTCAGAAAAGAAGCTCTATCCTTTTCAATTCCATCTGATTTATGAACTGCTTAAACTATTTCCCAAAATCTGCCTTCACTGCCTCTAGCCTGCCTGATAAACACTGCACAAAAATATCGCTGGTTTGCAAAATGTGACTCTTTTGTCTCTGAAGTCCCCTTTGGACCCTGGGAGGAAGGAACACTGAAGTCTCCAAAGAGCTGCTGGTGACAAACGTCTACTCTGTTTCCTGATGGCAGAGAACAAAAGAAAGACTTGAAAGAGAAAGCTCACAAGCTGTGGAATCCTTGCTCCTTCAGCTCCTTTGGAGCCAACTGCTGACCTATCAGATTTTTAGGCCTCCACCCCCTCAGCCGTTCTCTCTTCGTGGTCTGTTCTCCAGAAATAAATCCTATTTGGTTTCAAACTAGATGGAATTATAGAAAGCTCACTCTCAATTCCCAGACCCACAGCTTTCTCACAGCCAGTAAGGGAGTGGGCGAGAGGATCTGGACCACACATTACCCCCGCCAGTCCCCACAACCTTTCGTTCAAAATTTCTTTAAAAAATAGAGAGAGTGTAACTCAGCAGTCCTCCGTGAGGGTGATCAGAACTTGATTATCTCTCAAAATAGTAATGATGCCAAACCATGGAGAAAGGGGAATCGCTCTTTCTTTGTTCCAAAGACCCTATGATGTAGATAAAGATCTCTCGAGGCATAAAAACAAAAACTTTTTTTAGACTGGTCCATCAGCTTGTCTAGACTCAGAAGAAGACATCATTAAACTCTTTCCAATGGGCCAAATTCTCTTCCAAAACAACCTTATCTGCCCCAGAACTGAAATGAATCCCACTTTCAGAATGAACTTGGCAATCCGAGGCTGGTTCGTTGCCCACTCATCTGCTTTGGATCTTGATTAACATCTTATTAAAAAGGGGTTTACAGGTTTTTGTTTTGTTTTGTTTTGTTTTTTAACAAGGGAGGGGTCTTCTACCTGAGTCAGCCTAGGAGAGAGTTTCTCAGGCTTTTCTGAGAAAGGACTCGGGGTGTGAGAAGATTTCAGCGTCAGTTGAAAGGGTTTGTTTGCTCCCCTTGGACCTAAAGTTTTGGCCTTAGAGGTGTTTTATAGGGTCTCCTTGCCCCTTGTCAAGTCACTAGCCACTATCAATGCAGTTTTAGGGTGTTGGCTCAAAAGAGACAGAGCTGATTATTCCACGGAGAGTATGAGCGCATCTGGGAATTATGAGGGTGTTTATGAGTAACATGCCGGGTAGACACATGAGCTCACCCTTCTTCCCGGCCCTCACCACCACTGAGCTGGGGTGGATGGACAGAGGTGAGGTGGTGTGGTATGGCAGCTGGAACACAGAGTGGGAATAGTCAACATGGCCATATTTAATCCCTATTTGCCATCCATGTGTGAGATTATTCCAGTGCTTGGTATCCAAGGATACTTAGCCCAGGCCAAACTTGCCTTCCTGTTTGTAAGAGGAAAATGCTTCAGAAACTTACTTAAGAAAGACTCAAATTTTTTTTTTTTGGGGGGGGGCATCAAGTAAATGTTAAACAAACAATGTATTGATGAGCTTTTAAAATATGTGAGTGAGAAATATATGGAATTAACTTTGCTAGAAAAATCCATGAACTGTAAAATATCAAGGAGGAAAATCTTGGATGTTTTGACCTTTGTTTTAACTATGTTATCTTCCAATTCAGAAGAGGACAGATTTTTACTTTTTCTTGGATTAGCAAATAAGAGGGTCATATTTTAATATTTCTGAGAAAACGAGAAGATAGATGACTGCTTTGGACTGTCCAAGCTCATGCCTCTTATGGAAGAAGCAGCTGGCCAGCGCTGGGAGTCATGTCTGACTGTGGCCTCACTCGGGGATTTAGTGTGGTGATACTGGACTCCCCTGCCTCCCTGGGCCTCAGGTTTTTTTATGTCAGGCAGGACTAGTGGGGATTGACCCTTCCTGACCTCACTGGAATCCTATAAAAGTGATGTCATTGTGGGCATGGAGGGGGCTTTAATAAGACTTCCCTACTCTCTGAATGTTACGTGCAAAATGTGAGCAGAGGAGAAGAAATGGAGTGTGTGTGTGTGTAACCAAAATTGGTTAAGGACAGGGGACCTACTATAAGTTTCTCTTCAGTTAGAAAGCGCCTGCTGCCAAATCTGGCAGGGAGATTGCCAAGACTATTGCTAAGATGCAGAGAAGTGGTTTTGTGTGGGTTTTTTTTTTTTTGTTTTTTTTTTTTGGCTACCATATTGGGGGATTTTCCCCAGGAAAACCATTCTCTCAGATATGTCTGTTCAGTTTCGTAGGATGATGTGTCTCCACTAGGAGGAAGAAGTGGTGTTGCCGCTGAAATCATCTGGTGGAAGAATGGCCTAAGATAAGGATAACAAACTAGATAACTACCTCATATAACAATCCTGATCAACCGCAGTGGCTGCTGGGGAGATACTGAGAAAGGCTCTGCCATGAACACAGACTAGCTCTACAGGGAAGTGTCATGATCTGCTTTTGATGCCCCTGACAGGGGCAGAGGGACATGCTGTTATGGAACACAGCAGAGATAACATGGTCAGATGCCTCTGATTTCTCTAGGGAAAGTTGTGTGCCTTTGAACAAATGGCTACACTTCTCTGAATTTAGTGCCTTTCTCTAGAAATGCAGATGCCTTCTTTGGGGGGGTGTTTTTGATTAGATCTAAGCAGGATAATTCATGTGTACTTTCTTATCATTGCAACTGGTGAAAGGTAACTTTTGTCAGGCAAGGAATCTCAAGGTTAGAGGGATGTGGTTTGGGCTTACATCACTCATTTTTCCTCAGTATGAAGAGACTTTGTTAGGAGAACCAAATTATGGAGGGACTTATTTCAGACTCAGCATAATAAAGCAAAGATTATCACTTCCTTCACATAGAATTAAGTCATGTTAACAGCAAAAATATGGATTTCTCAGGTGGAGTTAATAGCATAGTCTTTACTAGGAAATGATACCTCATGTTGATAAATTGTGGATGACTTTGGGCTTGGGAGAAATCCAACCTCATTGTTGCCCATTACTGTCTCTCCCATCACAGAACCCTTCTTTGAGCCTGGATCCCATCCCTCTCTCTGATGAAGTAGACATGAAAGCCAGTGGCTTTCAGCCTGAGCCTCTAGAATTTGCAATATATGTAAAAAGAACCAGTCACTGGAAATCCAAGGACACTGGGATATAATCAGGAGCACCAAATGAGGTAGGGATTGAAGGGTGAAATGTGGGACAAGAAAGGGGAAAATTAGGATACTGGGGAGAATAGTATAGCCTTCTAGAGGGTTCTCTTTTGACATGGAGTCTTCAAGTTACATCTTCTTTTCCCTTGACAGTTTGGGGGCTCTATTCTGAATGTCTGAAACTTCCCTAAAGTCCAGTGTATCACAAGATGGACAGTATCATCTTGTAAGCCAGTAGACAACATGGACACTACATTTGTGCTCATCTACCCAGTTGGAGAAACAGTGTAACATAGTATAGGTTACATAACCACTACCACCACCATCATCATTATCTCCAGCCTAAGATTTAACTCCAGTAGCCAAAGAGACACCCTAAGTTGGGGAGCAGCTCTCTGGAATTTCCTTAATTATGCTCATTAACCTTAAAGATATATGAATTTGCCATTATCCATTCTTTTATTACTCCGAGACCTGAACTTTCTTTTGCTGTCAAGTAAGGGTAAAGGTTTTTATTGGTTTTCCAGCAGAGGCTCATCATGGACTTCATGACCTGTAATAAAAGAGTTATCACTAAACTCAGGACAATGACAATGTGTCTTCACATTGTGACATGTCAACCACATGTCTCCCCAGGTTTGTTATTTCCACTCTGTTTTTCTGTAGTTATTAGCAAAATCCTAAAAACGAAAGGAGTTGAGAATGAGAGAGGGTTATTGAAAGAATAGAACAAAAGAATGAAATCTGGAGGCCCAGGCCATTGCTAGGCTGCCTAGGACAACAGAGAAATCGTGAAACAAAGTTTGTAAGGCAGGATGGCAAGGCACCTGGTGTGTGGGTCTTTTGGAACGAGAAGACATGATGCCACATCATGGCAGAGAACCTGCTGGGGAATTCCTAGAGAGGTGCCCACAATGACACCCCAAGAGCATGATGTCTTTTTCTGTATAAATGCATAGGACACATTTTATAAAATGTTCTGAGCCCAGACACATCCGAGCAATCCTACATGGACATTGGCTAACTGCTAACTTTCCACTTTCTGTTCTGTCCTCACTTTATCTAATCTGTTTCACTGCTGAGTTTTGAAACCATTTCAATTGCACAACTCAATTGCACACAGTTGCAATCGCACCTCCAGGGTGTGACCCTTTGAAATGTTTTACTTTCAAATATTTGTGGTTGACAACCATTTTTTCATTGAACGTAAATAAATCTGGAATAAGAATGGGCTTCTCCTCCTTGGGGTCCTCCTGCCTTCGCTCCTCTTCCTCTTCCAACTTGCTTATCTCCTTTGATCTATAAGATGGTTCCTTTATCATAACAATGTGGCAGATTTTTTTTCCTCTTTGTAACTACATTTTGAGCAAATCCTATGACAGGAATTGAGAGATCACATTTAGAAAGGCTTCCTAAAGTCTTAAACCCTTCAGTTAATAAATATCATGAGCACTGTAATTTATAGATGGGATTAGAACATTCTGACTTCTATTTGGGCTCTGCTTTCTCAATTCTCAGGGGGAATGAGATGATGAATGAGTGAATATTTGTTCAAGGATTTGAAGAAAAGCAATGTCTTAAAATCTTAAAGGTTTTGACCTCAACGTTCACTCCTACAGAATTCCCTTTAAGTCATAAAAAGTGGAAGAAACCATACAAAGCAATTCTCTCCACTTCTCAAACCTGCAGAGTTCCATGGAGAAGAACAGGAAGATTCGTGGATGATAATGTTGGCTCTGGAGTGATTACTGTTGAACCCAAGTGAGCAATGAAATCTACAGATCATATCTCAGGTTATCATTGGCTCTTTCTGGGTGAGTCTGCTCTGCCCCAATGCCCAGGTGCTTCCTAATGACCAGTGTATAAACCTCCACTGACATTTTTCCCTTACAAGGTCATACCACAGTGTCAAAAGTCCTCTGTCTTATGTTCCTGAGAACCCAGAGAGATGACTGACTGACTACTCTGCTAAAAGTATTTGACCCAGAGAATTAATCACTGCTAATATCTCAGGAAAAGTTTTTCAACAGTCATTATGGTAAAAAGAGCAAATGCTAAAACCAGAACCATGTAAACCGTAATAGTTGTGCTATTCATCAAGTCCTGACCGTGGGTTAAAGTCTGTGCAAAGTCCAGACATCATTCAATTAATCCTTTGAGCAGTCCTGTGAGTAAAGATTATTATTACTTTCATTTTACATATGGGGGAGACACGCTGACCTGACTGAAGTCAGACTTCAGTCAACTGCTCAGCAGGGATACACAGCCCAGACCTTAGGTTTTTTAGGAAATAAACTCAAGATTTGTAGGTGGTCCTCTCATCCTCAAATCTTACATGTTCTTTGTAAGTGGAGAGGGATAAAAAAATGTTCATTAATTAAATTGAATGAAATTTGCTATGTGATTTAGGACAAATATTTTACATTTACCAGATCAGAAAAGTGTGAATATTATTTGAATTTTAAATCCTATAGCTGCATCAAGGGGTGGATAATTTGGGGTTGAAGAGTTTTTTACTTATTCAACTGAAAGCTACTGAATGAGCCTCACACCTCTTCCTGTGGAGATCATAAAGGATTACCTGAGTATATTGACAGATATCTTTAGAAAATCTTAGCAGCACCAACCAAATGATCAGGCATATATGACATACAGATATTGTAGGCATCGCCAAAACATGGATCTTGTCTTCAAGGAATACAAAATATGGTGGAAAAAAGGACTCAGCAAACTTCTTGTGTCTAGCTTCATTTTCAAGGACATGCTTGGCCACCCCATGGAGAAACTCTGGTTGTGAATTCTAAGGGGACTTAAGAAATTTATGATAGTTTCAGGAGGTGTAGGTTTCTGCTTCACTGGGTGAATTTCCCATCCCCTCATGTTTGGAAATTGAGGTGATTCCAAAGGAATGAGGCACCATAATACATTCAACAGGAAGTCCACTTAGACTGACCCTTTTTCTCCTGGAATGGGAAGATGAAATGGAAATCTGGATCATCACGCAAAAACCCAGAACTGCTTTTACTCCCAAAGGTTCATTCAGAGGTATTTCATGGATACTTCCTGACACCAGCTAATCCTTTCTCAACTGGTTAGCTCTTTGCTGGCTGCCGAGCGTCAACTCAACTCAAAAAACATTTACTAGTGAAGACCCCAAGACGTATGGCCACCTGGGTATGAGGAATGTGAAGCTAAAAAGTTACTTTTTTTTTTTTTTTTCATCTCTACTGATCATCTACCCCAGCTCTTTTCAGGGAAGACTTCTCAGAGTGAAGCCCATGATTTGTGTTGTTCACTGGTTCTTCTGTGTGGCATGTGGGGCAACTTAGAATTCTCATGGGGTGGGCCTTACATGCTGCCTCAGGTCAACTTCTCAGGAGTCCCAGAGGAGGGTCAGAGGCTAGAGGCTAGAGTCTGTCCACTCCTTTTGCCCCTCCTCAGACCAGACACTCAGTAAGCTAAGGAAGATTCTTATAGTTCTTTTACTGAGCAGTTGAATAGATACCACAGAGCGATGAAGACCAGGGTGGGAATTCTTCTTTCCTCTGATTGACTCGTATAGTCCCCTGGGACCATGCATGTGGGGTGGGGAGGGCCTTGCAGGAGCTGGAACACATCCCAGTCCTAACTCTTCCTCACCCCCAGCCTTCCTCTTATGGTTCTGTATCCTGTTCCCCTTCATTTCCAACAAGGAAAAAAAAAACCTTTTTTTTTTTTTTTTTAAATAAAACTCCAGACTTCAAGTTTGGCTTAAAAACTATTTGGTTCTACCTCAACTTTCCTAGCGCCAAAGGAAATGCGGATGACCTGAGAGCTACTGGTGTGGTGAGAGAGCGAGATGGTTCAATTTTCCATCATTGATGTGGGAAGCTCAGATTCATCTGATTTGCTGGTGAATTATGTAAAAGCAAGCACATCTCACCACACTCATTATTTGTTTCCTTCTGAGGTGAGTGCAGATTAGTTGCAGGTGAGAAAAGCTTTTCCTTCCTCTGAAGCAGATGACTTCAACATTATTCCTTATGAAATAATGTTGCCTGTATTGTTTATTCAGTTTTTATCTGGCCCCTTCCTGGACACCCTGCGAGGTGAGCCCATGATCCAGAGTGGGCTTCATGGCTGTTTGAACCAGTGGCATCAGTTTCAAGTAGACACTTTATGATGCCTGAATTTTTTTTTATGATTTATTTATTTGTGCATAGAAGAACTGGGGTGTAGGCCAGAGGTGCAGGGTGTGTGTGGGGGGGGGAGGTGTGTGACAGAGGATTTCCCAGAGACAAGGTGGGGAGCAGAAGAGGCAGATCTACTGAAATACACCACTGAGGGGAGAAGCTGGCGAGACAGGAGAGGTCTGCTGCAGCATATATGGGTCAGCTCCCTGGCGAGGGATCGAACTCAAGCCATAGCGGTGATAGCACCAAGACTTAACCCCTAGGCTACCAGGTAGGTTCACAATGCCTGAATCTTGCCCTGCATAGAATTTATGTGTATACAAGCAGTCTCTCACCTTGTTGCCTCTGTTCACTAGAATGTTTTAAATGCCTCATGAGCTGTGTAGAAGTATGAGCAGATAGAAGAGAAGAGAGACCCTGATGAGGCAATTAGGAAAGGGACTCAGCCTTTGAGGGCAACATTAGAACTTGGCTTTATTCAAGAGGTAGATTTTATCAGAAAGCGATGAGATGGTAAGTAGTTGGCAGGAGTAGTAGTTAGGAAATAAGGAAGAAAAATATCCAGAAACAAGAATAATAATATACATTAGTAATAATTATAACAGCAACACAACTTGTACTTATTAAGAACTTAAGTATATTAGGGACTTTGTAAACACTTTATGTTTAAACATACTCTCAAGACAATAGCAATGCAGTTAGGGAAGATGTTATTTGACCAACTGTAGCAGAGGAAGCAAAGGGAGGTATCAAGAAATGAGGTTAAGAGGAGCCGTAGCTCAGAAAACCTTGTCCTGTTATTGCTTTGCTTTTCCTGTAAGAATTCATAGGCTTCTTACGTCTTAGTTTTAGTTTGTATCATGGTGGTGCCATGATTGTCATTGTGCTCAAGCATGGTTATTCTGGTTGTCATACGAAGAATGAATTGGAGGGGATAAAAGACCAAATACAGGGCCTCCCCGGTGGCGCAGCGGTTGAGTGCTGGGTTGCGAAGCTGCCTGCAGCCTCTGCAGCGCCAGTTCGATCCCCGGCTGCTCCCCGGCCACCGGAGGAGGGTCCCACATGCCGCGCAGACCTCTCCTGCCGCCCGCTGCTCCCCTCAGAGTGTACTTCGGTCCTTCTGCCTGCTCTGCTCCCCGCTCTGGCTCTGGTGAATTTTCTCACCCTCCCGCGCTTTGACTGTACCCAGTGCTTGTATAAATAAATAAATAAATCTTAAAAAAAAAAAAAAATTAAGAAAAAAAAAAAAGACCAAATGCAAAGGCTAGAGAAGGGACCTAAGGGAAAGGAAAGGAAGGGAAGGAAATGAGAAGCATATTCTCTCGTTCACAGTTCTATTTGTTCTCACTCATATACTCAGTTATTAAACAGTCTCTCCTTAAGTGACTGCTCTCTGCTGGGTGGTGAGGCACAGTGCAAAGTGCCCGAAAATCAGATTGTGAGGACGAGGTTGGGGAGCAGGAGTTCTAAGGAGGAATTAAAGATGATGAATTTGAGGCCCAGTTTATCATAAAGAGCTGACACCATTCTCCAAGAATGGAAACGTAAGAAAGGCATATGAAAAACTGACTTATGGATCTTCTTTCTACAACAGTTTATCTGTATTCCACTAATATGCTATTTTCATCCTGTTCCTCTCCTAACCAAAAGGAAAAAAAATTCTCTATTTGCTTTAAAGTTGGCCTTCAAGTCCCAGGTCTCTGCTCCAGCCTACTTTTCCTGTCCTCCCTCCTGCTCACTGCTCCATTGTTACAAGCACCTTTCACTTCAGCTATGCCAGTTTATTACATTCCTCCTGACACAGCATTTAGGCTTTAGTGCACAGTACCTGTCTTCACCACCTAAAAATTTCCCATGCTGAAAATCCGGATTAGAGTCCCTTTTTCTCCTTTAAAATTCTGAGGCTTCAAACCCAAACCCATGGAATGGACTCCCTCCTCATTAGGTGCCTTATTTCCTCCCTGGGGTCTGAGTGTCTTCTGAAAAGATGTTGCCTACTTAAAGTAGCTTTGGTCCTTAATGAGCGTGGTAACTCCACACCCCACAACTCCCCAAGTGTGTACTTCTTTACTCACTGGGGTAAGTTTCTAAGACTCCTGAAAGTCATCGTGTTGCACAGAGACAGTGAAGGGGAAGTTTTCTTTTCCTCTGGAGTTTGGATCTTAAGATTCATTTGGACACACCAATTCTTTATGGATGCCTGTAGCTCCAACTTTGAAAATCACCTTCAGAAACAGCACTGTTTTTATCAGAAATCGTAGAATACAAGCTCCTTAGATAAGGATACTGCCTATTTTCTGCTTCAGTGCTTAAGATATTTTCACTAGCTGCTGGCAGCATCTTTTAAAAGAAAGAGAATTTAGTATTCTTCCCCATATACAGTGGACAAACTTGAAGATAAATGACTTTTGCATGTTTTCAGGGCTACTGCCTAATAATCTAAATGTGATATCTGCTAATAAAATATTCAGTGTTCACACACAAAAAATAGTGTCTTAGATGATCTCCAACAATGGATAATGGCACTTAATGGTGTTTAGTAGATGCTGAGATGTGAGAAAAACATGTCCTAGTGAATGTGAGTTTCAAAATTAATTGCAACTGAGCAGAAAACCCAAAGCAATTTGAACTTTTAATTTTAAGTGCTGTAATTGGGTGCTTAGTGCCAAAAAGAAAATTGGTTTAGTGGTTTTCAGGGAAATCACAAAATATATTACATATTTAAGTGTTTTTAAACCCCAAGAAGAACTATTTTAATGAATGTATTGATTTGTATATATTTGTTAAAATGAAGAGTTAAGAGGTGGGGAACAAATATTTGAGGTGCCCATGTACATTATATTGGTATGCCTCTAAATACTTGACTTTTATGTATAAATGTTGTATGTGTGTGTGTGTGTGTGCATGTGTTGGTGTGTGTGTTTGTTTAGTGTATGATTTGCATATATTGTATGACAGTCTTCTTAGCATTGGGGTTGCACTTAGGGATTAGGTTTATAGCCCACATGTCAGATTTGCCTTTCCTCTTTAGATGTAGACAAGATTGAATGAAACAATATTTTGCCATTTGTGGAAAATCCAATGCCTTGGGGATGATAAAATCAAACCTAAGATGGAAGTTATGTCTAGAGTGGATGTTATTGGAGAAAATACAAATGGAACTTCAAATATATTGATAATGTGTCTCTTAGACTGGCTGGAATATATGTGAATAGTCATTGTGTTCAACTTTATATATTTTTTGACATGAATTAAATTTTTGTGATGGATTTTTTAAATGTCTGATTCTTCAAAATTTTGTGAATTCTTAAGTATCTTATGCTTTCATGCTTACTACTGATTCCAGTATGTTGCTTCTACTGATTCAATATCCTGGCAAGGCTCTATTTGGAAAATCATTCCACCATGCTGATCAAATTGTCCCTCTTCCAAAAGGATTCAAATGAGGCATAAAATTCAGCCCCTTTCCTTGATTTATGCACACACTGAAACCAAAAATAAAGGGTTTCAGCTAAAGTTTGCTGAGATAGGGGAGTTCTCTTAATGCAAGCAACTTAAAATGCAATGTTGCTACTCTTAGATAGCTTCTAGCCATCCCTCCACCAGGAATTTTGTTATTAGCAAGGGCAGATTAGGTGGCATCTTGGCATTCCTTCCCTGCTTCATTCTGTTTTTCTTTTCCTCACTCTTTCCTCCAAAGTTGCTTTCAAGAACTCCAAATTCTTGCTCTATTATGAACAATGATTTTGCTCCTTTCAGTCTTGATTCCCAATATTACATTATGTAATATTTGTTGAGATATGTAATATTTGTTGAGATATGAGTGAAGCTTGGTTTCTAGTCCACTTGTGCATGCCCCAAACGCACCACTCTGCTTGAATTTTCTATTCCACAAACCACAAAAGTGTGGAGGAATCCTTCATATTTCTTCTTATAGATGCTAATTCCCCTCAGAAGGAAATGTGGTTTTAAGTGGTAATTTTTCATTTTCTGCATGATTTATAGTAAGTTATGAACCCATTAATGAGTTTCAAATCACTTAGTTTGACAGGACATATATGTACAATATAAAAGTTTCACACATATAGGGTAGAAATAAAGAATATGGGGCCTTGCAAGAGGGAGTCATATTGTTTAAGGGAATTGTGAAAGGGTAGTTTAGGAGGTAAAAGTCCATTACTGAAACAAGGGTTAGACTTGAATTACTGGCAATGAAATTCTCAGAAATTAAAAAAGAAAGGTTACGAAAAGTCATGAGTCTGGAGAAGAAAGCAATGACAATGTCTGTTAGTCCACAGATCGTAACAGGTCGTTTATTTTTTGGGATGAGAGACAGACAAGACTAAAGCTTGCCTAAATTACTTACATCCAAAGAGCACCTTTCATTAAAAGATGAAATAAAATAAAACAAAATCAAACAAAAGTAAAAATCAAACAAGCAATCAAATGTTGTACCAAGAGGGAAACAAGTATATTCAGAGAATTGCTAATCAATAATGTAGATTTGCATGTTGAATTTCCAAGTTCTAAGGGGTCTGACACTGGTAGTGTCCTAGAGAATCAAATACAAATCTCTAGAAAACTTCACTTTAAACCCAGTCTTTAAGGAAACCTCATAGTGTTCAAGTGAACATAGATTCACAAAAAGATAATTGATTTTCCTTAGAAATGAAGACACATGTTCCTATGCAGGTTTATAGAGTAGCTAGCAAGGGAATGTCAATAAAATGCACAACTTCAATGAGAGTAAGAAAGATTTGAAATCCGGAAGAAAATAACTTGAAAAGATGGAAA